CTGCCATTTCTGAGGTACGCCGCCCAGAACTGTCACACAAAACACAGGATAGTCAGTAGGAGACAGACCAGTCTGCCATCTCTGAGGTACGCCGCCCAGAACTGTCACACAAAACACAGGATGGTCAGTAGGAGACAGACCAGTCTGCCATCTCTGAGGTACGCCGCCCAGAACTGTCACACAAAACACAGGATGGTCAGTAGGAGACAGACTATCACATAAGACACAGCGCGGGCAGTGCGAGACAGTCTGCCATCTCTGAGGTATGCCGCCCAGAACTGCCACACAAAACACAGGATGGTCAGCATAAGGCAGTTGGACTGTCATACAAAACATAGGCTGGCTTACACGAGACAGCCATCTCTGGTAAATAGACGGCAGAAATACAGCAGGAGCCAGCCTGTCATCCCTGGTAAACTATACAGACAGGAATAATAATACAGCAGTGAGATTATACATACAGCAGTGATATTATACAGCAGTGAGATTGTATACCATCAATTCCGAGATCAAACAGCATTCTCGCCGCTGTGTATGCCGGTGTGAGTGTGGCGTCCGGGCCCGTTCCCGGCTGTCATATTATCTCTCACAGAGACGGTCGGCTGACGGCTCCGGCGGCAGATGTGAGCGGCGTTCCCCGTCCGCTGTTCCCGCCCTGACCGGCGTGCGTATCATCAGTAATGCCAACAGCAGAATGTGATGAGTCGGCCCCGCGCCGCCGGCTGGTGGCGACTGAGACCGGGAGATCAGTCTCGCACCCCGACCGCTCTCTGCTCTGTTTGGCTAGACTGTGATCCAGGAAGGGTTTCCGCCAGAGTGGAGCTTATTTGGAGATTAATGCAATTTACGGGGAAGTTTGTGAGGTAGATTAAGCGGAACTTCAACGCGGTGCTACCAAACTTGAACTGTATGAAGTGTTTTCGCATCCGGGATCATTATGAAATAATGGGAAAATATCTTCACCGCAAACTACTCGGTTATGAAACGATGCATCAAACTTAGTTCACGGGAAGGAGTTTTATTATCATCTTCCAACATCAACTAATTTGATATTGCAGCCTTGATATTCCTTTTTTATAAAACACTCTGGATATACCTAACCACACAGACTATAGGGAAAAAGTTATGGCACAATTACATCTGACAACTGAATTACCCTAGAGCGCTGGCAGAGGCTGGGCAATAATCGTAATTCGACATGACTCACACGAGTTTAACTGACGGAAGTTGGTTACCCGTAACAACTACGGAACAACAATGGTTCTCTGGAGTTAGCCAGTACGACTAGCAAATATTTCACCCGGGGCTCAATCTATGCCGACCAGCTCGGCACACTGATTCCGATAGGCCGGCGCCGTCGGCGCATAGCCCGTCGAGGCCAAATTAATGTCCGAACAAATGCACAACTCGGGCTATGATGTTCCGTGCTGCTGCCCGCCGGCCTTCAAAGCGACGTCCAGCCTTCGCTGTTGCCGGGGAGCTCGCTGTGGAATCATGGCACGTCGCCCTGACGCCGGTCGGCGGTCGGTGGACGGTGGAGGCGGCCCGTCGGGGGTCTGCGGACAGAGTTCGAGGCCGGAGTGCGAGGCCGGCGGACGACGGTCCGATTCCGGCCCGGTCGGCCGGGGCGGGGCGCTGCCACGGAATGAGATCTGGGATGGCACCGCCGGCGGTCGGAATGACTGATAGCCACAGCGCCGCCCACCGAATGCCAACCGTTTGGCCGACACTAGCCTGGCCGCGCCACTGTGGCCTCCGCCGACCGTTCTGCCGCCGTTTGCCGCTGTCGATCGCCGGTCACAGCCGCAGCGGACGGATGGGGATCGTTTGGGACAGCCATCAGCCTGTGGTAGCGTGGTTGGTTCAGCTTGGCTTGCAAATCACCCTCCGTGATGTAAGGGATAATTTTGATTTATTATTTAGTGGGAGAAAATGGAAAGAAGTCATACTTGTGCTTACGCTCGTATGCTTGCGCTTTGTGTATATGCACACAGAAATAAGCATGCACAAAAAAGATGTTCAATTTCCCGCTATTATGAATACCATTCGGAACGTTTATCGATTTTAAAAGATGTTTAAGCTTATAGTTTGTTGAGAATTACATAGACTTGTTTATGTTAGACTGACGTCCATTATACAAGTACTCACGAAAAATCATCAATGCTTGACTTTACCAAATATAGCGAGTAATATAGAACGTGTACTTTCCAACTGAAACATTGGTTTTGTTTTGATATAGTGACATGCGAGGCGAATAAAAAGTGCTGTGTTAGGAGAAGCTCAGGCCTCAGAGTCATCATCAAAGATAATACTGCTCGTTTGCGTCTGATCTGCGCCCCATGCATGACAATGGCCATTGGTCAGCAATACAAATGGCCATTATAGGTCGGATCCCCACGGGACCCTGGGACGGTCGCCGGTGGCATTGTCCTGCGGCTCCCGCCTGTCAATGATCAGCGCGGCGGGGAAAGATCAGTCGGCCATGGTGGACGACCTGCATGGTGGGGTGGCCTACTTCAGTTCACAGAAGGTCTGCAGCCCAAACATGAGAAAGGACATTCGGAGAGGGAGGAGTCTTATCGTACCCAGTTCAATTGAGAATGACATAGACATAGACATAGACATAGACGTGTATTGAAGCCATCCACGATACACTCGTGGCTATTACGGCCGCTCGTACAGGGCTAAAACTCTGCATGGGAGACATGACATAAAATAACGTGATAAATACGCTCAAAGCCCGTATACACAAACAAACATACACATGCACTCATACAGACTCATGGCCGCTGTCTAAGTCACCTCGCCTCCCCGTAGGTGGGATTGGAGGTGCCGACCAAATAGGTGGGCCGGTAGACGCGTCAGTTCTGACGGGAGCTGGTTGTAGGCGAGGGGCGCCCGGCAGCAGAACCGGCGCTGCCCCATCGCTGACCGCGATCGTGGGACTGACAGATTGCGGTCCTGTCTGGTGGATCGCTGCCGCGTCTGCGATACCTGCACCAGCTGGGCAGCCAGGGTTTCTGGCTCGCCTGATCGCCGCACCTTGTGCAGCAGGCACAGAGAGTGATACTGAGCAAGCTGCTCAGCGCTGAGCCAGCCCAAGTTATCCAGCAGGTCCGATACATGGTCGTACTTTTTGCGGCCGAAAATCACCTTTGCAGCATAGTTAATTATTTTTTGGAGCCGAGAGAGGTTTGTCTGCGTGCAGTTGCCGTATACTGAGATGCAGTATCGGACCTGCGAGAGAACGAGGGCTTGGACGATGACGGTGACAGCCGATGGTGGGAGGTGGTTCCTTAGATGTGATAGACCATGAAGGGTTCCGAAACAGCGGTTTGTGAGAGAAGAAATGTGACTAGTCCAGCTGAGCGTGCTATCGAATGTTAAACCGAGATTTCTAACTTCCGAGACAGGGAGTAAATCATGATCGCGGAATTTGACAGAGAGGCCGGGAACGTTGCGCAGATTTTGAGAGCTTCCCAACAACATCAGCTGAGTTTTTCCTGCGTTAACTTTGAGGCCGTTGGCCTGGAACCAAAGGTCGATGGAAGTCAGCACTGCTTCCATCTTCCTGACCACGCTTTGCATGTCAGATTTTTTGCCAGAGACCAGAATTTGTGTGTCATCGGCGTACTGTGCTACCACTGCGTCTCCGGTGAACAAGGATAAGTCGTTCGCGAAGACGCAGTAGAGCAGAGGGCCGAGAGCAGAACCTTGGAAGACGCCGATGTTGTTGGGAAGAGGAGATGACTTTTTGATGTTACCCAGATTGTCTGTGAAGCAGACGCTCTGGGTATGATTTTGAAGGTAGGCCGAAAACCATGTCGTTTCTACTCCGTGAAGTTGTAGTTTAGTGAGAAGTTTTTGATGGTCTATCACATCAAAGCATTTGCTCAAGTCCAGCAGGCAGAGAAGGGAGAGGTCGCCGTGGTCGTTGGATGATAGGATTTGGTCGGTGATGGATATCAGCGCGGTTTCAGTCGAGTGACGATGACGAAATCCGTGCTGAGTTGGGGATAGGAGATGGTTTTGTGAGAGGTAATTGAAGAGCTGCTGGTGGACGGCACGCTCTACAATTTTGGCAAAGACGGGAACGATGGAAATGGGTCGGAAGTTGGAAGGATCGGAGGGGTCGCCGGACTTGTGGATGGGATGGACGAGGGAATGTTTCCAGGGATCAGGAACGTCGGCGTTGGAGATGCTGGAATTGAGCAAATGGAGGAACACACCTCCGATGATATCAAAAGACAGGCGAATCATGTGCATGGTGATGCCGTCCTCGCCGCAGGCGGAGGATCCGTTCATGCCAAACACAATATTACGCAGTTCAGTCAGGGTCAGCGGTGACAAACTAAACGAACACGCACCCACACGGGGCAAGCGACAGGGGAGGTCAGGGGATACCCCTGATCCCCTCACCTCTCTCGCTACACGTGGTCCAACACCGACAAAAAACTGGTTCAGTTGATCTGGGGTAGCATCGGGTAGCGCTCTGTCCGCCTTACTGCCGCCCACTACCGAGCGGACAGCCTTCCACATAGAGGAACGGCCGTCCTCACTGATTCGCCGGCGCACCTCCGAGCAGGTGTCAGAGCGGATAGCCGAGCGCACCGCGCGGTTCAGGTCCTTATAAACAGGCGAGCCGTGCCCGTGGGTCCTCAGCGCCTGGCGACGGCGAGCCATCAGCTCCTTAGTTGCGTCACTCACCACTGGCGCACTGGCGTTCCTGATCCGGACAGTTCTCATCGGCGCATGGACATCAATGATAGGCCGAAAGGTACACAGAAACGAAAGGTACAGAATGGCTTTATTGCGTTATTAATTGCAAGTAGCCTGAAGCTGAACACGGTTAATATGTCCTATGACCGACCGAGAACTAGTCTGTGACTGTGTTTAGACCTGCTGCTGACCTGTGACCGGGAGGCGGGAACTGACCTGTTGCTGACCTGTGACCGGGAGGCGGGAACTGACCTGCTGCTGACCTGTGACCCGGCACTGACCTGTGCTCCGACCATCCCCCTCCTCAGCCGGGGCAGGTCGGTGTGTGACCATCGACTGCTGTTCCACGGCGCCACCTGACGCAGATCCGCCGCAAAGTCAAAATCCTCCACCTCGTTGTGGACAAAGTTTCGCAGGTTCCACGGGAAGTCGTTATGCCTGAAACAGGGACACACACGCACGTCACTGAGTGTGACCGAGCCGCAGCCGCAGCCGCTCAGGTCAGGGGCCCTGGTGCCGCTCACTGGGACTGTTAATTGTCCTAGATTTCGGCACCGGACCTGCTCGGTGCCAGAGCTGAGACCCGGAAATTCTGCAAATCCATCCGCAATGGAGAGTCCACGTCGGTCGCTGATAAAAGGTCGTTTCTGGCTGGGTGAGTTTCCTGGAGACAGAACACAAACTAATTCGACGAAGCACCTGTCGATACAGCCGGGGTGGGTCGCGCATTTTATCATATATGAGGGGCGCAGTGAAGCGTGCTAACAGTCACTTACTTTCCGTGGAGAGCGGATTAGTTTGATAAATGGCTCTCCACTATCTTCGAGGAAGTAAAGCTGCCCATTTAATAGCGCAATTTATAACGGTGTCTCGCTACGCAAGGTATTAGTTTTGACTGAGATGAGGGATACATGGGCCCCGGACATAGTACCTATTTATTTGTATTACGTAGTGCTTTACATGACATCGCCTAAGCGAAAAAGTCACTTAACAACTTACGTTTTGTACTTGTACTATTCAAGCATGCTGAGTAATTGATTTGACTATTTGTCATTGAGAATTATCACGATTTAGTTCGGAGAAAGCACGCCTGAAATAAACTAAATTATTATATAGGCCGTCAGTCCTGTGACTCAGCCTGTAGACAATAAAGCTTCCGCTGCTGAAATCCCGAGAGTTCCTCCGACGCTCGATATTTGAGACTCGTAATGGAACTGGCCTTAGACTGAAGGGATCGGCGCTGGCTGGTGCGCGGCTAGGCAGTAATGTTACACGTTTTCACCTATGCTGAAATGCTTTGAGCCTCTAGAGTGTTCTGATTATTTGTAGTTTTCAAATCTGCCAGTCCCGATTGGCCGATCGATGTAACACTTTTGTCCAGCACTATGGCCATTAGTCTGGTTTTGTTAATCGATCTATTCAGAAGAGCAGGCAGACAAAGCTGGAACACTCGCCCCCATTATCCGGATCTAGCCGCCAGGTATACATGATAAATAGCTTCTCGATCCGGTGATACCGGGCGATGCCGTGGTCGGGAGCTTTGCCAGTCCCCAGGCGCAGCTTATGCCAGATCTAAGCCCGCTATTTTGTTTGTACCTTTTTATTCATCATCGCTGGATAGAACTTAGGGATAAAGAGTTTAAATTTATCTCAGCATGCAAAATGCTCAGCTTCAAACGGTAAAGATTCTTGCTCTACACCCGGCCAGCGGTGGTGCTTTGCGGCACAGCATGCGCTAGGCGTCAACACCTAGAGGCATCTAGCGGCTGTCTGAGTAACTATTGTGTCCGCGCGTCACAGAGCTTCTCGTCGGGAGCGGGGAGGGTGCTATCTATGTAATTATATGTAGTACTGGACAAATGGATGCATGGAAAAATGACTGACATCATAATGAAGATCATAATAACAAATGAATTGTTGTTTAGGAACACTCAAGCACACAAAGTGTCGAACAATGCTAACGATGGCCACAACCATTAGGAACGCAACCTATCTAATTTTTATCTAACTTCCTATCTAACTAGGTATGGAATCACGCTTAAAACATTGGCGAGTGGTTTGAGAGATGTCAAGACCTCATTCCATTAGGCTTACCAAGGTTCTTACAATCTACCTACATATATAGGTAAGTACATATCCATTATCCATTCTGGCAGTGGCGACTTCCTAATATTACATTTCTTGCTCAGTTCGATTGTTGAACGCAGAGGTAGGCTGCACAAACGCTGAAATAAGGCTTCTATCTATAAAACATACCCAAGGACAACTGTTTTAGGTAATGGTTGCAGAAAAACGATCCCACAGGTAGATTGACGTACACCTGTCCTAGAGTTCAGACGTTTTAAGAAGCTGGGCATAACAACTAACTCTAGCTAGTACGCATTGACCTACTAAAAGGTTTGAACTAACCGTTTTCAATGGGCATAACAAACTTGTACTTAACTCAATCATACATCAGAAGCTATTAGCCGTTTTCACGACGGCCATCTGGTACACATTTGGTGCACATCTGGTGCAGATTAGGTGCAGATTTGGTCAAATCAGGTTCAGTGTGTCTCTTAGTAGCTATCAGCTAGGGTTGCACTACTTGATTATATACCTGCTTTGTCATATTATCAGAGAGTATCATCGATTAAAACACCGAAATAAATTCATAAAATAAAGATATTTGCTGTAAAAGAGATTAGGTGCAGATTTGGTCAAATTAGGTGCACTCGCCGGATAGCCCGTCGTGAAAACGGCTATTATTAACCATCATTATACCTTGCAAATGTCTTCGAATGCACGAAGCATTTAGAGCCCGCCTGTACGCATTCAGACGCTCTGTTCCCTAGCACCATCAGTGTGACCTGAATGTGACACTCTCAATTCAGTGCGCTGATTGCAATCTCTGCTGACATCGCTGACAGTTCTCGTCTGCCGCTGAGGATGGATCGATGAACGTGCGCTGTTACTCCGTGTAGCCGACGACGACGGTGATCTATGCATCGACTGGCGACGAGTGAACTACGAGGATAGGGCTTAAAGCAGCTGTACGGCGGCTGTACCGTGCGTTTAGGCTAGGCAACAGGCACTGCAAACATAATACCTAATACGACTGTGAGCTACGGAATAGTGTTTTTGGCAGTGGCGTGCATTCACCGCCAGATTTGGGACTGTCTCACAGAAGGTTCTAAGTTTTCCCTAAATAAGATAATGGGTTGAACATTCACATACCTATAATCGTGCTTCGGAACAGAGGAGACAGTTACTTTTGCCATTTTACTACATAGACAAAACATCACATTTGAACCAGTATTTATGTGCCGTTCTTTCGATTTTTCATTCTAACCATTGTTCGTAATTGTAACGCAACCACGCCGTAAAATGAAAACAACTACATCAACTGCATTTATGGACCCGAGATAATAAAACGTTGAGTGAATTTTCCTGGCCTATAACGGCTCCACCCATCTATGCTTGCTGTGGCAATCATTCTTTATGACCAAAACCCGTATCTTTGAAACACGGCCCGAGCCATAAACAGGAGGAAATGGACGGTTTTGGCTTATCAGTATGCAGCATGGACGGCCTCCGTGGTACTGTCAATTTCGTCAAAAAGGAAACGCTAGTACGCATTTTTTCTTACTCAGCCACGGCGATGAAAAAAAAATGTGTTGAACTAATGACGAGACAGGGAAGGGGAGCCAAAGAAGACGAAAGGAAGCAGGCAGAGAGAAAAGAAGTGGATATGAGGGAGAATATAGAGAGCTGAAAAGAGGAAGAAATGAGGTAGGAAAAAATAAACAACAATGGTATCTCATTTATGGTGATTTTATAAGAACCAGTTCTTGACACAGAGTAACGCTAAAATGTCGTTCATTGATATGGTAACACGCACGTGTATCTGGTCTGGTAAAAAGATGCATGCATCCTTGCAAAAGTCACACATGTGATATCCCTGTCAAGCGATTGTTTGCCTTTTTATACGCACATTTATGAGTGGCGCACCTGTCAGTGACGTCACTCACGCGTCCATGAACGGCACATCGGTGTATGACGTCACTCACCCGTCTATGAGCGGCACCTGTTGCAGCAGTGACGTCACCAGCTCGAGGCGTTGCGCCAGGCTGGCGCTGCGTCGCGCCTGTAGCGCCAGCGGTACACCAACACCGACACTGGTGGCGGCGGCGAGCACCATCACCACGCAGACGACACACCAGTGCTGGTACTCGGCTTCCTGCCGGCGACCTGAAGACGGAGGGAGTCACATCAGAATGGGTGGGGTGGTGGGGGGACACAAGAGCGAGTTAGAGGGTGTGGAGGGCGCTCTGCAGTTCCATTGTTGTGTTTCGTGGTTTGAATGGAATGGCTGATTCAGTTAAGCGGTGGGAGGCTGCCCGTGTCTTTGTGGTCGGTAGCAGTAAAGTGGGGATGTGTTTTTCACCCTCCCCCTTCTATGACAGCTATGAAAGTAGGTACGCGACTGAGTAGACATTCACGGCCCATGGTACTACTAAGTACTAATACGATTACTTAACTATTTTTCATATGCATTATAAACGTGCGGTGAGTACTTTATAATAGGTACTGTGCGAGTGGCAGATACATTTCCATGAATCATCATCATAAAAATAATACACAATGAGAAAATAAGCGCCAACAGCACAAACATATTAGGCATGCAATATTCCAATCATCCAGCGCTGTCCTCACCCCAATTATCTGCCTTGTAATTGTATAGTGTTGTGCTGGTACAGTACAGTTATGCGGACGACAAGACGACATATCGTATTTTTCGGCTGATGATTATCTGAATAAATTACTCTCCAAAACGAACAGATGGATGGATGGATGGATTTCAAACCCATGGTGTCGCTCATATTTGAGATAAATGCAATCATTATAGGCAAAAACCTGTGTGGTAGATCATCTTATAAATCTCCATTTACTTCTCTCTCTCTCTCTCT